TTTTTACACATTACAGTAGTGATATTAGTGAACCCAATTTGAGTCGAATGCCGAATATGTTTGGCTCAGATCATTTAATAAATCGAGTGTAATTAATTAAGTTTCGCTCGTTGAATTAAACTTTCATTTTTTATTTTATTATATAAATGAGTTAAGATTCACTTTTTACGAGGCGAACTGAGTTGTACTCCTTAACAAATTAGTTCTAGCAGCCCAAGATCGAAAATATTTCTGGCTACGCCCTTGGTTCCAGCACCCCTCGTCGACCACCTCCAAAAACTCGCGCCCGCAACAAGAATTTCCACACCCTCGCGAGTCCCGCATTCCTTAGCTCGCGGGCCTGGTGAGTAAGCTTGCGTAGCTCGTGGGTACCTCCGTACACCACGCCAACGCCCAAACTCACAACCCAGGCCAAGTTGTTTGCTGAGCACGCGATAACTCCCGTTGAATCCCGTCCGCGAATAATCTCGCTCGCCTCGCGAGACCCTGCACACCATACTACATGCATGCCAAGTTCGTGGCCTATGCGAGTTATGTGCCTAGCACGCGAGTTGGCCTGAGTGACGCCTCATGCCTTCCACATTCGCGCCCCACGAAATTCCTAACTGACCTCGTGAGTGCTTCATCAAATGTACTTTTTTTAATGTGTGTGTTTGGCTAATAATATAAGTACATTTAGTTCTTTGTATTTTGGGCATCCTTTCCTCATTTGCAAAAAAAATCTTTTTTATTTTTGTCTATCTCTCTGTAATTTTCCCACTTGGGAAACTGAGGGATCTAAGACCCAACTTTTATTATTCTAACTCTTCATCAAGATTGCACGTTTCCATTTTATTTCTACTCGTGGATGCTACTAGAGACTTAGACACTTAGTTTAAGATTCAAGATCTAGTAAGTTTTTTCTTGTCTCTACTTCTTGAATTTTCTAGGGTAAAGGAAGAACCTTTCATGAGTAGAATAGGCTATCATCTTCGTAGGCTAGGGATGATGTGATTTTGTTGTTAATTGCGTGAGCGGGAATTGATTGATAGCTCGATTACTCCATCGCGAGTATCAATTGCTTGATTACATGTTTCCGAACATTTGAGCAGCTTCTGTTTATCTAGTATCTTAGGGTTCTTAGTCATTTTTTCTTTTTATTTTCCTTTTTATTACAGGATTTACATGTGTTAAAATATTGGGTCTTGCTTTCATTCCTGCCTTAAATTGCGTTCACTTTAGCATTGATGTGATTTTGTTGTTAATTGCGTGAGCGGGAATTGATTGATAGCTCGATTACTCCATCACGAGTATCAATTGCTTGATTACATGTTTCCGAACATTTGAGCAACTTCTGTTTACCTAGTATCTTAGGGTTCTTAGTCATTTTTTCTTTTTATTTTTCTTTTTATTACAGGATTTACATGTGTTAAAATATTGGGTCTTGCTTTCATTCCTGCCTTAAATTGCGTTCACTTTAGCATTAAACAACTAAATTGCGAGTAGAGTGTTTAAGACTGTTATTAATTTTCCTTTTAGTGAATCAATCATTGCTTAAATAGCAACGGATTTTTTCCGTTGGTAAATAGCAACGAAATAACAACGGACACCTTCAAAATTGTATTAGCAACAGATTATTTCTTTGGTAAATATCAACGGATTTTTCGTTGGAGTATTCTGTTGGTAATAGCAATGGAATTTTCCATTGACAAATAACAACTGAATTGCAACGGACACCTTCAATATGGTAATAGCAACGGATTATTCCGTTGGTAAATAGCAACGGATTTTTTCCGTTGGCCAATACCAACGAAATAACAAACTCTTTCAAAATTTTATTAGCAACGGATTATTCCGTTGGTAAATAACAACGGAATTTTTCCGTTGGCAAATAGTAACGAAATAGCAACGAACACTTTCAATATGTATTAGCAACTGATTATTACGTTGGTAAATAACAATGAATTATTTCTGTTAGCAAATAGCAACAAAATAGCAACAGACACTTTTAATTGTATTAGGAACGAATTATTATCCGTTGATAAATAGTAGCAGAGCCTCTTTTTGTGTTTCTCTTATCACTGTTTCTCTTAGATTTCATCTCTAGCCTACCACAACTTGTTTGATGCTAAAAGACTTTGTTGTTGTTGTTGTTGATAAATAGCAACAGGCACTTTCAATATTGTATCAGCAACGAAGTATTCCTAACTTATAATACTTACACACATATAACATAACTTAAAATTTATTTTCATTTCATACACACATATAACACACATATAACAAGCCCCATCGTGTATCACACCACGGATTTGTTTTCTTGAAACTTTTTTTAAAACTTCATTTTAACCATATATATTAAGTGGTGTCATTTGATGTCTGAGGTATTATTATTTTGAATTATTAATATATTAATTGTTTGAAATCAAATGTACGAATATTAAAAAAGTTTGTAAACCTCTATTATTTATATATATATATATATTTATTTTTTGGTACAAACCTCTATTATATTTTAAAATTGATAGAGGCTCGTGCGAGGCAATCAGTAGCTTTGACCAGGAAGGCACGTGCGTGGACTAAAAAATATCGACGATTGCGGGGAAGCGCACGTGCAACTCTGTCTCTCTCTCTCTCGCTTATCGTGTGGCACATAAATATATAATTCTACATAATTTGAAGCATAAAATTAATTTTAAACTCATATTTAGGACCATTTATACTCTTAACACCCTTTTGCCTTAGATCTCTGCCATGTCAGCGGTCTCAGGCACCATTGCATGGCAGAATTCTTAGATTCGGTGGTGGGCCCAATACATAGTACTTTTTTGTTTTGTTTTTTTGTTTTTTTGTTTTTTTTTTTTTCTGTTGCTTTTTTATTATTATTTGAGTAAATCAAAGACCAAATATGGACAGATATTATAATAAATTAATAATGCATGATGGTAAATATTAGACAATGGAGATGTATATTTAGAGAGATGCTACAGTTTCGTTACGGAACTATTCCGTCAGGGTTTGTAATCGTTAGATTAACTATTTATGATGATTACATGATGATTTAATAGTTACAAATTTTAATGGAATGGTTCCGTAACAGGACCGTAACATTTCTGTATACTTATTTAAGAAGGTTACAAATTTTTTAAAATCTTAAAACCACAAGTGATTTACAAGAACAAGTTAATCGAATCGTATTGTATTCAGGCAGGCGCCACCATGACTAAGATTTGGGCCACTGATTTCCAGAGGCCCAATTATGTTTCTACACACTAGTTAGACATGACTAAGATTTGGGCCACCGATTCCAGGAGGCCCGAATATTTTCCTTAAATGTTTGTATGTTTTTATACACAGAATTTTAGGGAAAAATACACTATTAACCACCTATTAAAGAAGAAGGCGAATGAAAAAATCTGAGTGACATACCTAAACATCAAACACAAATAAACTAATTTAGATTTTTGTTGCAGTGTCGAAACCACCGGAAATGTTGTCCGTCGACCGATGTCAACTCGTCGTGCCGCTTCTCCTAGCCAAGCCACAATTGGGGGTCAAAACCACCAGAATTGTTGTCCTCCGCCCGATGTCAACCCGTCGCGCCGCTTCTCCTAGCCAAATCACAATTGGGGGGGGGTCAAAATATGCTCGTCGCGCCGCTGTGAAGGTGAGTGATTTATGTGGAGATTGGTTGCTCGCAATATTTTAAGGAGAAGGAATTAAGAAAGACTAGGTAGGTTTCAAGAAACGAAGAGAGATGTACGGAAGAAGATTGCACGGTTATTTTAAAAATAAAGGCCAGATTTCTTAAAACTTAACCGCAAAATGAGTATAATTGAAAACAAAAGAAGTTATATTGTCTAAATAATATGTTAGGGTATTAATATAAAATATTTAAACAAAGGGATAGTGAGTGTTATTTATTATAGTACACCAGTTGCTCTAGTTTTATAGGTTAGACTTAGGACTGCAAACAAACCGAGCAGCTTGCGAGTGCTCGAGTCAAAGTTTGACTCGAGCTCTAGTTTGACCGAACTCGAGTCAAGTTCGAGCAGCTAAATAAAAAAAATTCAATCCTGCTCGATAAGGTCAATGCTCTACTCGCTTCGGTTCGTTTGCAACCCGTTAGACAAAAAGATGAGTAGTTTTCTTTCCCTTCCGTTAACGTTCAATTATGTTGGTATCACAGTTTACTCCCTCCATTTCGTTTAACTTGCATCTTAGTTTTATTTTTTTTTCACATTTATAGCTAAAAAACTTTTGTTTTTCAACGTGTTGAATTTAGTTAAGGATTGTGACTTGTGGTATCTAGGCTGCCTTGTGTAGTCCTCTAATTTCGATTTGGAAAATAATTGTGAGCAACCTGAACTATACGTGATTTTGGGATTTGCAACCTAAAGTATTTTTTTTGGTAAAATGCAACCTGAACTACATACACAATCACTATTTGCACCCTCGCCCACATTTTGACCGTCCGATCAATAGCAAAAAAGGGTTCGTGTATGGTCAAGATGTGGTCCAGGGTGCAAATAGTGATTGTGTATGTAGTTCAGGTTGCATTTTACCAAAAAAAATACTTTAGGTTGCAAATCCCAAAATCACGTATAGTTCAGGTTGCTCACAATTATTTCCCTCAGTTTTATGATCCAACCTACCAACCCAAGTCCGAGGCTTGGCCTAGTACGAATTTCAAAATGTTATGCTGATTTTTCCTCCCACTGGACACTGCATCACCACAAAGGCCAAAATCATGCGTAGAAAAATTCCAAAGGTTTTGGCTGACTTTTGCCATCTCTTTCACAAACTAAAGTCCACTTTAAAGAATTTTTGAAACTTTTAAGGACACAATTGCAAAACCCAGTTACTTTTTCCATGTTCTTTTTTCTTGCCCCAGCATCTTAATCACCAGTTAAGGGAGCCGTGAAATAATTGCTACAACACCCTTTCAAGATTCCTAATTTTCAATAATTACCAGTAGAAATTCAAATTATTTGATGATATGACCAAGTGGAGATAGAAAAATGGAGACTCGAGCTGAGAAAGTGTATGTAGCAGTTGGAGCAGATTGGTATGATGGTTTTACCACTTTGCAATGGGCACTGAAAAAATGGTCTCATGAGGAGATCAGTATAGTCATTCTTCATGCAGCTAACACTATATGCAAAGACTATGTTTACACACCCAGTGAGATTTCTTCTTTCTTTTCTGTTTTTTTTTTTTTTTTTATATTTTTGACCGAAAAATCGCGCTTCAATCGATTTATGCTCGTCGTGTTCTTTATCGTTGATCACATGTGAATGCAGTTGGGAAACTCCCCACAAGTTCTGTGAATGAAGAGAAGGTAAAAGATCTTGAAAGGATTGAGGATGCCAACAGGGATAAAATCGTATCTCAGTACATAGCCGCTTGTGGCGAGGTTGAATTTTTTTTTGTTTTCGAATCCATACATGTATTATTCGATCGATTTAGACAAATGGGGATCATTTTTTTTTTTTTCTTTTTTTCTTTTTCGTCCTTCGTAGGTCAAGGCAGAGGTGATGCAAATTGAGAATAGTGATCAGGAGCCATTGCACAAGCAAATTTTGGAAATAATATCGACTTTCGGAATAACCAAATTGGTCCTGTCACTCGGTTTCATGAAATATTCTTCCTGGTACTCGAAATCCTCACATTTGTCAGATTTTATTTTATTTTATTTTCTGTCCTTGTAGAAAGCTTGGTAAAATTTTCGTCTCAACACTTCCATAATGAAGGAAATCGAGAACGAGAACCGCAATTAACAGCTCGTTCTACGTGGTCCGCCACAAGCCTGAATATTGCGATCTGTTTGTGATATGTGGAGGGAGATTAGTTTTCCTGAGAGGAGAAAATGATGAAGAAGGGTATATAGAAGATGATAGAGGATCTATTCTTGCAAAGCTTAAAGAAAAGAATTACAGCATAAGAAATTGGCTGGGAAAAATAATATGGCCTGAAGATGGTGTGAATTATTCAAATAATCCTCCAGATTCGCCTTCCTCCTCGAGAAGCCACGACTCGACTCAACAGTGGGAGAAAATCGGTCTAGAGATCGAGCATTATGCCAACAAATTGTTGTCTTTGCATAAAGAGGAAGGGGAGTTTGATGGGGCAAATGCAATATTGAAGGAATATTCTACTGAGCTATGTATACCAGAAAATACTGTAAGTAGTAATAATCTTGCCACAGTTTATTTGGGATTACCCACACTTTTTTCTCGTTTATTTGGGATTACTCACAAAAACTATCCTGAGGTTTTTAACACTACTACAAAACAACTAAGCTATCTTTAGAATATGCAAGTACCTCATTCAAGTTTTTTTTTTTTTTTTTTTTTTCTTTTTGGTTAGACAATAGACCCAATATATAGTTCTTTTTAGGAGGAATCTCAAATGCTTGTGTTTTCATTATACCAAAATAATGATCAGGATGCAGCAGAAAGAATTCATGCTCTCAAAACCAGGATACAAAACGCTCGAGACATGATCGAGTTCAACAGAAAGAACACGAATGTCGCCAAAGAAAGGCGCGAGAAAGCTAAATGGGCAATAAGCATATGCAACACCAGGGTACAATCACGCTTTTCTGCTAATTCAGATATGATTCTGATTCCATTTTTCAGCAGTTCTGTTAAAGATAAATTGACCAATAAATGTATGATATGCTTGACCTAGGCCGAAGAGCTTGAGGACAGCCTAAATGAAGAGATTGCGAAAGCTGCGGATCTCAACAAAGAAATAGAGAGCAGAAAAGAAGAGATTTACGAACTCGAGTGTGAAGTGGAGCAAAAGAGAAGCAAGCTCAGCTCGATTCTTGAACTACAAAATGAACTCACGAGCAAACTCCACATGTCGTCCTCAGCCAGAGCGCGTGCGGAGGCCCAACTCGAGAAAGCAGCGCAAGCAAGAGCCGAATTGATTCAGGAAATCGAGAAACTGAGAAAACAGAGGGATGTTTTGCAACGACGGATAGAGTTCTGTAAGGAAAAGGATGCAGTTGGGGAAGTATCAAAGTCGATCGACCTTGGATTTGATTTCAGAGAGTTCTCCGGAGCCGAAATTAAAGAAGCCACTCAAGACTTTTCCGAACATTTGAGGTTGGAATCTGGAGGTCGGTCGACAGATGTTTGGAGGGGTCGGATCAATCATATAATGGTTGCTGTTAAAATTTACAATTCAGCAAATGAAGAGTCTTTGGCATCCATGGTAAGCTGAGTTGTTCATATTTCACAGAAGTTAGGGAGCTTGTGAAAACACTTGAAGCATCTTATGAAACAAAAAAATGAGCACAAACCTAAAATTTTATAATTAATATTCCGTTTGCAATCACCGATTCTTTTATTCCCAACTATTTGCTTCAGTAGAGTAAATACTCCATTAGTCTTCTATTCCAAAGCAAAATACAAGAAAACTACGCTTACTGAATAAGTTTTCCTATATGTAGGTGAAACTTCTTAACCAAATTAGGCACCTGAACATACTAGCCGCGATTGGCTTCTGCACTGAGCTAAACTGCATCGTGTACGAGTACGCACACAACGGTACCCTTTCGGATGCACTATTTTCGACTGGCCAAGGCAGTAACAGAAAGAATCCTGGTCTAAGTTGGTATGACCGGATACGAATTGCAGCTGAAATCTGTTCAGCCTTAGGATACCTCCACAGGACCAAACCTAAGCCAATCATCCATGGAAACTTAAAACCTTCCACAATCCTCCTTGACAGGAATAACATTGTGAAAATCAACGGCTTGAGGGACCCCTGGTCGCACTACGAGCTCGGGATCAAATTAGACGTGCGGGCTTTCGGGAAGTTATTGGTGCAGCTCCTAACGGGTGAGAATTGGTCTGATACAACAGACAATGCGGGCCTAGACGAATCAGCCGGGCCTTGGCCCATGGATTTGGCTATGGAACTTTGCAGCATTGCAAGGAGGTGCTTGTCTGATGAGGGAATGGTTAAAATGCCGACCAGAGAGATCAATGATGTAAGAAAACGAGCGGATTCGGTGGCTGCTGATGGGGAATGCTCTGTGCCTGTTGCAGAGGAGAGTGCCGATGTGGCGGACTTGAGCAACGTGCCTAGTGCATTCATTTGTCCTATCTATCAGGTGATTATTATTAGTACCGTCTGTGTTATCCTCTTTCTTTCCCTAATTGTGTCTCTATAGACAGAAAGGTAAATACAACATTACATAATTTTTGCACCTCCTATGGTCTACGGTAATTATAAATCTCAAGAGAATATTTGTAATAGTGGAAGATAAACGGGTTTCTTTTATGACCTGACTAAACCCCAGAGGTTGGTTTAGTAATTATCCATGATGAAAATTGTACTATTTCCTTGTCCTTATCATGTCTCCTTTTGCAGGATGTCATGAGAAATCCTCATCTTGCTGCGGACGGATTTTCGTACGAATTGGAAGCCATTGACGAGTGGCTCAAAACGGGACATGACACCTCACCAGTGACTAACTTAAGGCTAACTCACAAACTATTAACTCCAAATCATACTCTGCGGTCGGTTATCCAGGATTGGCAGAATAAAGGACCATCCAGCAATAACTGACTGATTATAATTGAATTGCAGGCCACAAATCAAAGGCATTATTCCTCTTAAGAATAAACTCATTTTCAAGCCCTTAGTTTCTTCTCTAGAGCAAAAACTAAGAGTCAATTCCAGGCCTTAGTCATATTTGGAGCATAAGAAACTATAAGTCATATATGATGTCACACAAAGACTAAACTAAGAACAACATGCTTCAACAGATGCTTGGTGAGTGATTATAATTCTTTTTAGGACTATTTATTGATATGCATTGTATTCTTACAGAAGAAAGAACAGAAGGACCGTTAATAAAATTTTGTATGTTTGTCCTATGATTCCTTGATTAACTATATCTCAATATTCAGTTGGCCATATTGACACTCTCATTACAGATGGCCAAATCTCTTTGTAACTGTAACTACTAAGTTTTTTCCACAATATACTTGAAACTCATTTGCTCGGTAATAAAATAGTGTCCAGACCGGACATGTTATTCCTGAATCTATCAATGGTGATTATGCAATATAGCCACAACACATTTATAGCATATTTTTATCAATTCCATTTAGTTGATATGATGTTCTGAAAGTGTCGACTGGTTTACGGCAAGCACATAAAGAACAAAGGCATAATATACAGTTACCAAGGAGTTTGGCAAACCTTAGAAGGTTAAGATATACTTAACTAACCATGTTTATTCACTTTAAGCAAAACACACTAAAAGATCCCAAGTCATTTTGAGCTTACCAACATCATTAAACCAACAAGACAGGATTCACAGCTTCAAAAACCATCTGTCAAAGCAATTGTCGCATTATGCGAACAAAGACTAGCACCAACAGAACACGAAAATAAAGTTGTGAATTACTCAGAAGGTACCAAAAGCTAAGGCGGCGATCGGGAGTATAGCGCGCCACCCGTTCCCGCAGTTCTTCGTTCTGGCGCCTGAGGTATGAATCGAGGATTTTCATAACGCACACGAATTTCCTTGTCTCGTCGAGGCGGCGGCTCAACTCGGCTTCCCTCGCCCTTGCTCGCTCAAGCCGCGCCTCCGTCTCGGCCAGCCTGTCCATCAGATTCTCTACGGAGTCCTCGTTGTCCCGCGGCGCACGCGGGGCTCCGGCGATATCTTCTTTCGAAGGCAGCCGCTCCCGGCCGTAGCACATGGTACAATTGCTTGCTGGCTTGCTCGCTTCTCTAAGTTGTACCTTGATGTCGTTTACACGATTGATAACAGAGCGTGAGGTGAATGAACCACCTCAATGTCCCACCACTTTGAAACTTTTATTTCAGCTGGACTTTCATCGACTTTGTTACAAAACAATCCGCAATAAATAACTTAGTAAATTTCATAAACATGGTATGACGATCTCTATCTCTCATCTTTCTTTTTGAATAAGTTTGAAAGTATTTGAAGACCTCTCCGAAAAAATGTACAAGAGGACAACTAATAATGATGTGTATAAATCATAAGGTTGTTTGATACGAGCATAAACTATCTAAAAATTTAAATGCTCTTTAATTTGAGATTAAACTATTTACAAATCTTCTTAGATATTATCTAAAATTCCAATTCACATGTTCTATGATATGAGCTTAATATATGTATAAAGCTCATCGATATGAAAAAAAAACTATTCAAATCTATTGGGATTTCTTCATTTTTCGCTTTTGCTTATGCTTGGATTCTTTGAGTGTTTCATATTGGGATTCAATTCTTGCATCTATTGGTGATTGTGAGTTTTTAATTCTCGTTTATTATTCTTGATTGAATGAGATTTTACTTTGTTTGGTTATGAATTTTTCGTCCATCTAGGGTTTGAATTTGTGTCAATATGTGTGATGTTCAAATTTGTAGACATTTTATGCTCGTATCTAGAAAATTACATGATATTTATGAGTAGAGACACTGTAGACTCCTTCACTTTTCGTCTCTTTGGTGCTTGGCTTTGGCCTCTTAACCATTCCATAGACAGGCTTCTCAAAATCGCGTCAAAACATACTGTCTGTCTATAAGGGTCAAAATTTAAGTACAAACAAGTGTTATCAGATCCTAAGAGGCTACACAAACTGCAGTACCTAAGCAGATGGCAATTGAGACACTTGATCAAACTTATTCTCCCTTTTCATTTAACAATATACATATGCATTCCCCCTATGGCTACATCATGAAGGCATAACATGAGCCGGGCATTTTCACGATCATACAGTATCTAAATAAACCAGTGATATGAAATTTGAGATGAATAATCCATAAATCAACTGCATAAAGAGCACATAGTTATACAACAAATTGAAAAAGAAAATAAGTAAAAAAATCTCTACAAACCGCAGGAATCCGACTGCTCAGTAAACAATTCCCCTTTCGAATCACCAACAATGTATGCAATAAAAGCAAAAGCAAAAAAACAAGAAATCGTCTAATCTACACACTACGCCGGCTCTCGCAATCAAGAAGGCGCTTAGGAAGGAAAAGAAAAAAGAAAAAAAAAATGTATAAAAAATCAATGATTTGGACTGGAGAGATGTATACCGGCCCTCATGACTTGGTACCGTTTCCCTGGGTGCATGCACGAGAAAATTGAGTGCTTCTGCTTCTTCAGCTTTGTCCCGAAAAGGAAGGAACTCAGTGGGACCCGCGGCCGGTTAACACCCTCCCCCTGCTCGCTCGAAATCTCGAATTCCTGGTTCAACTTCCTCAACATTTTCTCTATCCGCAGCTGGAGCTCGTGCGCGTGGTCCAGCCCCGTCCTCAGCTCCTCCCTCACCTTATTGTTCTCCTGCTTCATGTTGAGGACCTCACCCTGAAACTTGGCCGCCTGGTGGCTGCTGAACCTGATCTCCTCCTCCTCCACCCCTTCCCTAAGGGCCTGCGTGATCTCCTCCTGGATCACGCACAGGGACTCGAACCTCCGCTTGAGCTCGTCCTTGAGGGACCTGCTGTGCTCCAGCCACACCTCCAGCTCCCGCTGGATCTCCACCAGGTGCTTGTACACGGGCCGTGCATCCGACTTTGCCTGCCTGGGGAAGCTCCCGTCAACCTTCCGTTTCTCCCTCACTTTTATGACCTCGTTTTCTAAATCGTTCACCTCTGTCCTGAACTTCTGTATTTGGTGGAACTCGGTGCTGAACCTCAGCCAGAAGTCGAGGTTCTCATCGAGGATGGCGTCGATGTCCGTCCGAAGCTTCTCCTCGGCTTTCGAGAGTGATGGCGGCCTGTCAAGGAGGACCAACTTGATCTCGCTGTCATCGTCCGGTCCCGGGCTCGCGCATGGGACATCATCTCTTGTTTCTGGCCGGGACTCTTGTTCAGAGAGTAATCGGTGGCGTAATATTTTGATCTCGTCGTCCTTCTTCTGGACGGCATCTTTCAGCTCTCGTATTTGCAATACCAAGTCAAACTGGCTGTCCTTTTCCTTCTTCTCAAGCTCGATGAGTTTTCTCTTGACGTCTTTGTAGTTTCTGAGGATGGTGGTGTACTCTTTGAGGAGGATCTTCTCCCGGTCCTCCATCCCGCTCAGCAGCATCTCCTGCCAGTTCATGTCCTCATCCTCCTCCACCGTGTTCTCTTCCGTTTTCCCACATTCCACATAAGAATGGTGTTCCTCTGCAGTGGTCATTTCTTTTCTCGGTTGCTCATCCGAAAGCATACCATTTTCGAAAACTGGCTTAACATCGACTCCTGCCCGTGAAGGTGCGGGAGGTTGATCGATTTCTTTCACATCCTCTACTACTTGCGTAACCAGAGGCGAGACCTCTTCCGGACTTGTGACCTGGTTTTCCTTGAGATTTTGGGACAGACAGTGGAGGTTAGAACGGGCCACGGCAAAGTTGGTCTCAATGTTGGTACCCTGGGTCTCTACACTCTTGTTCAGGTCTTGGACCTTACTAAGCTTCCCCTCAACCTCCATAACCCTGTGGCCTAAGTCGTGGACAAGCTCCTCCTCCTTCTCCAGCCCACTTATCTGTGCACTCAGGTCATCCGTCTCGGCCCGCAGTGTGTTCACCAGCACCGTCTGGGACGACACTGCTGTCTCCAGCCCAATCACCCTGTTCACCAGCTGGTCGATCTTCTCTGCCAGCTGGCCCACCGTCAGATTTCCCAGTTCCAGGCTCCCCTCAACCTCAATCCCCCCCGAAGCCCGTATCAACTCGTCCACCTCGTCCCCAGTCGAGGTATCTAATAACTGATTATTATTTTTATTAGTATTGCTGTTATCAGTATTTTCATTTTGGGCCGGGTAGTAGCGCTCCCTGAGAGACTGTAGCCTCCGGCAGGCAGACTCGATCCTTTTGTACTCCTCTTTGGCTTCATGGGTTGCCTTTTCTTGCTTCTCCTCAAGCATGGCTAGAGTTTCGCGGCACGATCTGAGGGCGGCCTCGGCCATGAGAGCCCGGGCCTCGTCATCCTCGATGACAGTGTCCATATCGAACTCGTCCTGAAGCCTCGACACTTTCTGCTGAAGCTCCATGATCTGGTTCTCAATCCCCCAGTACTTGGCAAGCCCGCTCTCGTACGAACTTTTCACAAACTCCTTCACGGTCTGAAGGGCCAGGATGTCCTTCTGGATCCTCTTCATCTCATCCAGCGCCTCCTCCTTGGTAAGTCCCGATTTGGACTCGGGCTTCTGCAGTTTCTCGACCCGGAGATGCTTGGAGGCTTTGGTGATGATGGTCTTCAGGTCCTTTTTGGGGGCTTGGGGGACATTTGGCGCGGGGAGAGGACCGTTAGGGGGTGTGGCGGGTCCCGGGCCAAGGTCATCGGGCTCCGAGAGGGACAGCTGGACCTGCTCGGGGAAAACAGTGGCGATAGTGTGGTTAGCGTTCTGGAGTTCCTTGGAGAGAAGGTCGTAGCGGTCGGCCAGGGCTCGGAAGGCCTTGTAGGACTCCTCGACCGAGTTGATGAGTTCGGGCCGGCGTCTGTAGTACATCTCTGCCCGCTTGGCGAACGAGTCCCCGTCCTCCTCGATCAGCTTCAACATGCTCTGCACTTTCTCTTCCATATCTGATCACCACAACAAAAAAAAAAAAAAAAAA